TGCTCGTGATTTGTATATACACACATACAAAGGCTTCTTCTAGTAGGTTATAATTATTAACTGAAAGTCAATATTAGTTTTTTGTGAAATAAATTTCTAAAGTAACGCCAAGAAAGTGTTTTGTAAACATATTTACCTAAAAGATGAAATTACTAGATATTAAGAGTTGTTCCAATAGTTTTCAATAATAATATTGAAATAAAGAAATATATAATTCATATTATTTTAACTAAGCTTTAAGATAATAAAAATTTCTAATATATGTAATATACTATTATTACCAACTACATTAATAATAAAATGTCTTTTTACAGCTTTTTCCAATTGTCAAAAGTCTTAAAAAATTAGTTATTTTATGATTTTGAGGCATTATTTTGTGAAGCCATGTAGAAAATTGTAAAATTATCTTTTACGATTTAATGTTGTACTTGAATAACTTTCAAGCAAGTCGATTTAGCAAAAATTTTGCCAAATCTTTTTCGCAAAAGGTGACAAGATCGTTAAATTACAAAAACAAATGCATTAAACATCCGAAAAAAATAAAAAAATATTACAGTGTTATTTATACGGGATATTAAAAATCACAGTGCGACGATAATTTCCACGGTAACTAAGGAAAAAAATTAATTTGTTTTAGTCCTTTTTTTTACTCTACTGAGCATATTTTGCACACAGATTAATTTTTATAATATATTTAATTTCTGAAGAACAAAAATTCGCTTTTATTATTAAAAAGCCATTACACAGATTAACGGTTCACGAACTTTTTGATTTGTTTCATCTCGTGGCAGCGATTTCTTTCCAGTGACCATTCGCTTGAAACTTGAGAACAGGGGTGACTTTCTCCAAGAGAGGCTAGTTCCGGAAAATACGGTGGATGCGTAAATAATAAAAGAGGAATTACTCCTTTTCATTGATTTGTAACACAAGAGATCGCTCGTTTGTGATTTCGCGCTCCACTTACATTTTACCGAGCATGAGAAATCTAAAAAAATTCATGAACGTCCAACTTATACCTTCTTTAGATCGTATAGTAAACAACTTTTTTTAAAATCAACCACAATCAAATACAAATATTCGGTCTTTAAGAACCTTTTGAAGATTAGATCTAATTACAAAATATACGCATTCAATTCTAGCATCTCCCATTGAAATTAAAAGAGCCGCCAGCCTCCCGATAGACTACCATAGTTTTTGTGTAGATTTCGAAAATAATGGATAAGGTGGAAAGGGTGAGAATTATTTTCATAAACATTTACAAAATGTAAACCCCGCAGTTCTAACCTAAAATATTACCCCGGGGGAAAAACAAAATTTTGAAAGAGTCGTTCGAGGATTAGAATTTTATGATTATTTCTTTCCTCAAAAATTTCATAGCATCAATGCAACAGCAAATACAATATTAAAAGAAACTTCTAAAAACGAATTTTGAATGGGATTGAATACCATACTGTTCGTAAACTACAATTATTGAAGATTCATAAAGAAAGAGATGAAAAGCATTGATAATTATCAGGTAAATGCCGATCACATGATATAAAATTAAATATCCTTCAGTATAGAAATTAAATTTAAATTATCGTTTCTTATACACTCCTACTTCCTTTCTCAAGAGGAGTATTCCTCTTTATCTATTATTCACCGTCACTGGTTGCTAAGTATTCTAGCGTTACATATAATAAGGTACAATATATTTTTAATTTATTCAATTGTTATTAATCTGGAAATTTTGAAGTTGTGGAGTAATTTAAAAAGCTAATTATAGCAAGAATGCGTTCTACGTAAAATTTTAGTGTCAATTTGCAAGGGTTTTTTGAGCGAAAGCTCTTAACAAATATTAATTTTGGATCAAGTTTATTTTATGTTCTCTCTTAGCCAGAATGTAAATAAATACGACTCTGAACTCAAGCTATTTAAATACTCTCGTTTTTCACATTCCTGTACACATTTGCCTTCTGTTCAGCGAAAAGCTGTCAGCGAAATGTCAGTTTTGATTATGACAACACTAAGGGATTTGTACCCGCTTTGTCGTCAATTCGTTCATGCAATAAAGAAGGCTAAAATGCATCGTCTTTCTCACGCAGTAACAACTCGCAACCGATAGTTGTTTGTTAAGGTTAGGCCGATTAAAATTTCGCATTTTGGTAAACATCGTGACAACTTAGAGGTATTTAATATCTACATATATCTAATAATAATATAGTAATAAAAAAAGAATGAGAGATATGCGAAGAAATTCTGGCTTCCGTCTGTTGCGTCAGCAAATTACTTACATTTTTTTATACTCTTGCAACATGTTGCTACGTAGTATAATAGTTTTGTCCACCTAACAGTTGTTTGTATCACCTGAAATTATACGAGAAAGCTATAATGTTATATATATATAAATGATCAGGGTGATGAGATGAGTCGAAATCCGGATGTCTGTCTGTACGTTCGTCCGTCTGTCTGTGCAAGCTGTAACTTGAGTAAAAATTGAGATATCGTAATAAAACTTGGTACAAGTGTTTTTTGGCAAAAACGTAAAGTCACGCCATTTATCGAAAACCTATAAAATGTCATAACTAAGCAACAAATTAAAATATAAACCCATTATTTGGTATAGGAGATTGCAGTAGAAAGGGACATCAGTGAATTAAAGATATTGAAAATGACCATGCTCTTTAGTAGGTTTAATGTACATATCTCCTAAACTATTCAAGCAACAATAACCAAATTCGCTTAGGAAAAATTCCATTAGAATCCTTACCAAAACTGTGTAAATGGATGAAATCGATTTATAACCCCGCGCTCTCCCCATATAACGGTTTTTTTAAAACTACTTAAAGCGGGGTAAATCAATAACCAAATGCGCTAGAGACATTAAATTTTACGACCAGGATGAAGTTATAAAGTGGGCTTTATAAGAGCCGGGGTCAAATTTAGACGATGAGCGTCGCATCTCCCATATTTAGGTGAAAACTCATATCTTAGGGTCTACTGGACCAATTTCAACCAAATTCGGTATATAACATAATCCTGATGAGCCTATGTCACAATATCTCAAATCGGACTATAACCACGTCTCCTTACCATATAGCACAATTTTAAATTCCATATGATTCTCTTACTTTCCAGTGCACAAATCAAGTATAAAATGTCCGGTTACACCCGAACTTAGTCCTTCCTTACTTGTTACACATACATATTTTACTTATATATGTGGCGTGTGCAAGCTAAAATTTGGCAAATTATTTCTTCTTTCACGTAGCATTTGCATGCGTGTCAAATTCTTGCTGTTGTTGTTTTCAATTTTCTAAAAAAATTTAGTGTCTATCATACACAATTTCCAAATTCTATTTCAAATTAATTTACGCGTATACTCGGGTATGTATGAATTATTTGAATATGAAGCGTCCACAATTCCGTCTATTCAATGCCGCCCACGCGTTTCTTTTTCATGTGGCGTCAGTCAGCATCACACAATCCTTTTAGCTTTTTGATTCTCGCAATTTTTCTATTTTTTTGCTGATCGTTCAAGGTTGCTGCTTTCTTCAAAAATTTTATATATTGTGCATACATATATATGGTATATATAATAATTCATATGAGTATATGTATGAATGTATTATATATCACGACAGTTTATTTTATACTTTCGTTTCGTTTATCACGCTGCGGTATTTAATAGCATTGATGATTAAAAATTGAAACAATTGGTTGGTTTAAATGTTTCCTTGAAAATTACTCGCATTTGTTGACTTTTACAGTGTGCATATATTTTTAATACCAACGTACTGTGCGTAATGTATGTTCATCATCACAATTAGTTGCAATTGGTTTGTGCGATGCTTTTCGCCTTCACATTGACATTCAAAGTGGACCAATGAGCGCTCTGTGGATGTTTGGTGATTCAGGTTCAAAACAGTAATAATGAAATCGTAGTATGGAAATGTTCATGACGGCTGCGTCTGGTTATTCTAGTTATTAATCGAGACAAATGTCAACGTGATTTTAGGACCTTTGCCGTATGCTTCGTCGTTATCCTGTTGGAAGACACACTTAAGTGGTATTTCCCATTCAGCATGTGGCAGCATTACGGCCCCAAACCAGCAGCAGAAAAGCATCTCCAGACCATGACGTAGCCACTATGTTTGACTGTTTTTAGACAATAGGAATTTTTAAGATTTAATTTAATTTTGACTCATTACTGAATAGAACAGTTTTCGGCTTGCTTATCGGCCATTCCATATGATCTTTAGCCAACTGTAAGCGTCTTAGTTGGTTACGTTTGCTAATAAGCGTTTTCTTCACGAGTCGGTAACTGCGTAAATCCGCGTCATTCAGGCGACGAGCGACCGTTCGTGAGCAGATTGATTGAAAACTTATACTTTATAGGAATTTATTTTTGAGAAGTTCTTTGTCACAAATTTAAAAGAAAACATATTTTCACAAAAAATTCAGCGCAAAATTTATGCTCAGTAAGTGTTTCAATCAATACAAACTCAATACAGTTAGAAAAAGAAACGAAGTTTGAGTATTTTTTACAGTTATATAGTTAAATAAACAAAGTTGCAATTGTTTTGTCGCGGCGAATTGCCATACATTTTAAATTGTTTTTAAATATAACCGGCAAATAAAAAAAAGATCGCAATGATCATTTTAAAAACAAGAAACAAAAGCCAATTCGAAGGAAAATTAGGATTGTAAAGAAAAAAATCGAGGACATCGCTCTAGTTGCCAATGTTTTGCCCGATACTGTACGTATTAAATGTGTGACTCTCAAACATAAGCGACAAGTATTTGCAATATATATCTGACCGGGTCACTTGTCATCGAGTTATTACTGCAGCAAATTCAAAAAAGGTGTATCGAGAAAAATGCGTTTAAAAAGAAACTGTTAGAGCACGTTGAACTGAGAGGCTACACTTTGGAAGCCTGTTACTCAAAAAATATTTGAAATAATCATAGAAAAGTATGGCATTTTTAAAGATATAGATTATCGAAACACGCAAAAATTCAACAAAAAAAAAAAATTAAAAACTTCACAGTAAGTGTGCCCCTTAAAGAATAATGGCGGCAGTCTTGTAGTTAGGAAGTTTCCCACCTTCATGTTTCTTCTGAGCTATATGACACATTGCTGTCTTCTTTGGACTATTCACGGATATCACTATTATTTTATAAAATAAAATAAAATTAGTAATGTTACGTTAATTCAGTGTAGTTACATTAAAATGTACCATCTGGTCAAATTTGACCCGGATTAGTGCATGTAACCTGCGCGCGTAGACCGAATCGATAAACAATCTTTTTCTAGATTGGTAAACTTTCTTATGCTCGTGAGAAGTTAGATCTACATAACGTAAGTTTTTTTTTGCTGCTGATTCCTTACGACGCGAAAAGTTTGTCCGGCGATTTTCACCATGAAAAATATATTGAAGGAGCTTGCTTGAAATTTTGTATTTTCAATGGAATCATGGCTACGGAATCTTTGAAAATGTTGCAGAAGTGTTTTGGGGAGAATTCGATTATATCAGTAAAGATCGTGAATTCATCGAAAACCACCTCACCACCGTCAATCCACCTCTGTTAATGACGGTAACATCAAAAAGTAAAGAAACAATGCTAGGTAATCGTAGTGTTGGCATCAGAAAGATAGCTGAGCATCTCAACATCCCTTATGTATCGACCTAACATATTTTGTGTACTGTTTTGGGTATGCATCGTGTTATACTCGTACTAAAAAACCTGAATCTTTTGCAAAGACGACGTCGAATAGAGATTGCAAAAAAAAATTGCTTGACAACGTACCTGAAGCCCCTACATTCATCAGACGCATCATTACTAGTGACGAGACTCGACGCACTGAAGTCCATCCCAGTTCATAACAAGTGTATAGAAAATTTGATTAATGATTGGCATGCTTGTATTGGCTCAAAAGAAGCCTATTTGAAGGCGATAATAAAGACTTGCATATCTATTTTTGTCAGTCCGGTCAAATTTGTTCTGAGTTTATATTTTAGAGTTTAAGTACAAAAGTTGTGGAAGAATTTTTTCCGAATTTTAATTCTATAGATTTTTTTGGACAAATAAAGTTATGTTCATATTAATAGCAGTGTGAGTCGGAATATGTTTTAACGCCAAAAACCATTTGCAATAGCAATTCAATTTAAAATTGTGTTTACTAATTTTCATAATCGTAAAAAAAAAATATTGATTCCTGGTTGCCCCAAGTAATCGTAACCCTACTTTCGATGACATTTCACGGAGATTAAATTTTTTGAGTTGTTCATAAAAATAGCTGTAGAAAAAATTTATAAAAAACCTGGACTTGAAGGATTTTACTACTGTTAAGAATTGTTTAATACAACAAAATTAAATCAAGGTAAAAAGGTATACATGTCCGCTACAAACCAAGCAAGTTTGTGCATATGTACATGTACATATATTTTTCATAATAAATACTCTAGTTTACTTGATCCACATGGAAGCATAGACACGTAAGAGCCCATCATGCGAAAAATATGTATCTTTTCGATGAGAAACGAAGTCATAGTTTGAAATTTTGATAAAAAGTAAAAAGAAAAAAACATATATACTCTCCTACATACTATATCAACCTGATTCATAGAGTCAAAAATGTTGACACGTGTAGCAGATAAATGTGAGCGCGGCGAAAGGTAAACATACTTGTTTATAATATATGTATGTAGGAGGGGCATATATGGGGGCACATGCCTGTGTACAAAGAAGCTTTGTATGAATAGTGAAGATTAAATTTAAGTTCATGAGAGAATGTGGGAGAGATACGCAACTGACACCAATATAGAAATACATTCATATACATACATACATATGTATATACGATTGTGCGATCGATTTTTACTGATTTGGTGTACTTGGCGCTCTGACATTCTCAATTTTCATCGATCACCAAATTAATTCTTTCATATATAGTATCTTATTTGCAAAAATGTGGCAACAATAACTAACGGAGATAATTTGAAGCTTCCTGCTTCTTTGCTAAAATAATTACCGACTTTTATTTTGTGGCCGTGAAGTAATCACTAAACTTGAAAAAGAAAATTTGACTTTCATAAACTGGAAAGCTGGTTTGGCAGTTTCGTTTGAGAGACTTTCATGAAGTTTTGAGCATAATGACGAAGAGAGACAATATTTTTTGCATACGAAGAAGCTACGTTCATAGACCAATACTGTTGTATAAATATTGACTAATATTTTGAAGGCAGTGGGTTCGATTCCACACCGCCGAAACGTAGCAGATATTTGATTGATTGAGCATTTCCACCTAATGGTGATTGCTTACCAACTGATAATAACTAGTCTCTAAGCACATTTTGGCGTAAAGGGTTTAGGCAAGTCTAATATTTTCTAAAACCCGGTTTTTTGGCTTAAAATAAAAACATTTTTTTTTTCAATCTGCTTAGACACTAGGCATAGGGGCAGTTAGTTGAAGCACCTAAAACGTTTTTTTTTCGAAACTGCATTTTTCAAATGGTACTAGGAGACTATCCGTATATTTATTTAAAATTTTAACTGCAGCTTCACTGTAATATAATACTTAGTAAACTACTTAGCATTTGTTATTATTGCAATTTTTTTTCATAAACAATTTTTACCAATTTTTATACTCTTACAACATCCTGCACCAGAGAGTATAATAGTTTTGTTCATCTAACGGCTGTTGGTAACACCTAAAACTAATCGAGTTAGGTATGGCATTATACGTATGTATGTGTATATAAATTACCCGATGACAAAACAAGTTTAATTCCGAGTGACTGTCTTTCTGTCTGTCCGTCCGTCAATGCGTGCAAGATATAACTTGAGATCGATTGATGAAACACGTGTTCCTTAATACCCAAGTGTGGTTGCTATTGCAGATGGGCATTTCATTGCCGAAAATATGTGAAATCGGTCTACCAATTACGCCAGCTCCCTTATACAACATACATACATATGTATAATGATATTTGTTATTCTAGCGGATTTTATGGCGAATATGACGATTTGTCTGTGAAAGATATTAATAAAATTGCGTAAAAAAATTGTTGTCGAATATACTTGTCACGCCAAAAGTTCTTTAATGAATAGTCGAATAATGTATACTGAAGTTTTTCGCACCATTTTTATACCCTGAACAGCGTATATTAAGTTTGCCACGAAGTTTGTGATACGTAGAAGGAATCGCCAGAGACTCTATAAAATCCATACATACAAGTATGGAAATGATCAGCCTGACGACCTGAGTTCATTTAGCCATGTCCGTCTGTCTATCCCTCTGTCCGTGTGTTTGTATATACGCGACCTAGTCCCTCAGTTTTTTAGAAATCGATCTCGAATTTAAGCACAAATTTTTTCTCCCTAAAAAGCTGCTCATTTATTGGAACCGCCGATTTTGGATCACTATAGCATATAGCTGTCATACAAACTGAATGATCAGAATCAAGTGCTTGTATGGAAAACTTTTTCATTTGACAAGATATCGTGACGATATTTGGCATATGTTATTGCTTAAGACAACGGTGCAATCTCTGAAGAAATTGTTCAGATCGAGGCACTATAGCATATGGCTGACATACAATCTGGCCTATCAAAATCAAATTCTTGTATGTAATCTTTTCTATTTGTGAAGGGTATTATTGCTTTGGTGCGACCGTAGTTAACAGTTTTTCTTGTTTATTATAAAGATTCGCAACACCTGAATGTTTCCCCGTATTTGATTCTTACAAATTGCCCAGTAGCCGCTGTTTTGTATCAACACTATTACTACTATATATAATATACGGTAGTAATTAATTGTTTACTCAGTCATATACATATACATATGTAATATTATACAAATATTTTATTTTACAAATCTACATATTGGTCGGTAATAGTTAATAACGACTTTCTGCACTTCATTGGCAATTCCATTGAAATGCTTGTTCTTCCGCACAATAATTGATATGTTGTTGTTTTCAATACTTTATTTATAATACGTAGTTATATCTGGCACTTCACCTCCGAAACATGCATACTCGTATATTATATATACCATACATATATACATACATATGTGTCTACAACTAGTAACGAGCCCCCTTTAATAAATTAGGAAATAACAACAACAGGTGCACATAATAATACATACATATTTAAATGCAATTACGAAAATATTGTTGTTTTGTTCACTTTGCTGTGGCGGTGCCTCCTTCTCGACATGATTCACTTGTTTATTGCTCGTTTCCAAAACCTTCATAAATACGTGCGTAGGTATGTACATATGGAAGTGTTTATGCATCTAAGAAATAATATACATATGTATGTGATTGACTGTGTCTGTATACAGGTACATACATACTCAGATTTGTTTATTTTTGTCCAATTTATTTAGGTGCAATTTTGAACAAGGTATTGTGTTCTTTGTGGGCTT